AATACGTTTCGAGGAGACGGATTTTTTTTTATTAACGATATAAATAAATAAGTAAATAAATAAATAAAAAATGTAGTCTAGAAAAAAATAAATAAACCGTCCGGTCGGATACGCGATCAAGTTCCGCGAGCAGCTTGAGGCGAACACCCTTGTTCCCTTCAGGACTTCCGAACGAAACAGCGCGCTCCGACCGACTGCCCCGACTCGCCCCGAGATACGAGAAAAAGCTCGCTCGAAGCGAGCTTCCCTCCGTCGTCGTCGTGCTTCACCCCGCCAAACGTTAGCTGTCTACCACTTTACTTTAGAACTGCCTGTGTGCAACCATGCCGCCTTACATCTCGTTCCTTTTAATGCACCATGTGCTAATAAACAAATAATCCAAATAGATTAATATTTTTTTATATGTTTCACTATTATGTATTTAAAGATATTAAATCGAAGAAATAAAATACTTTACAAGATATTGCATATTATATGTTACATTACATAATATATCAAAATAAATTATGAAATATCTTGTAAATTATTAAAATAATATCTTAATTATATTATTTTAAAACTTTTATATGCACAAAATGATTAGCAAAATTCATATATGCAAGAGAAATCATATATAATTTCATTAAAAATTTGTGTTTTTTTTCAAATCTCGAAAGTGTTCTCACACTGGAACTAAAGCTGTATTGATCATAAAATATCTTTCTTGAAATTCCACTAATTTTATCCATAACAATTTTTCTGATACCGTTCAGTTTTTTAAATATTTTGCTAGAATAATTAAAATAAAATATTTTTATATTAATAAAATTTTTTACAATGCAATTTTAACGGCTGCTTACATCTAAATCTTACAAATTATATAATTTACGTAGGAGATAAGAAATAATAACACATATATGCATTTGCAACTTATAGATATATTTACTTCATATTTTATCACTTTTAGATACAAGTCAAATTATTTTCTCTGATAGAAAATTAGCTCGAAGTTACGCTACTAATCGAATGAGAAATAATGCTGCGAGATTATAAATGCTACTTTAGATTTAACATATTATAAGAAGCAGTCGAGAGATAATTTTTATTCCAAATACTTCCGCAAAAAATATCTTGCATCTCGTTTCAGAGAAGCGCTTAACGCGCGTGAATTCATTAATCGTGACATCATACGTGAAGGATATATTTTGTTGAAAAGCACATTAGCATATATGCATGTCGACGAAGTTGTCCTTGTTTTTAAAGATCGAGCCCCATGAACCGTATTTATCATTCTTCCTTGATGCTTGCTGCTGATATTGTTGTTGTTGTTCTCTCGACGATGTATGTTCTTCCTTGTCTTTTCTGAAATGCAGAATAATATTGGATGATATAATATTAGATGAATATTTTTTTTTACACGGTCAGACCCCAAAAAATTCCGGTTGACGTGTACTGTCAAAATCAAGATTTCGACTAATCTTAATCACTGCTCATGATTTATTAAAAAATTATTAATAAATAAAGTCTATCACTGACCACGTATTTACTTCTTGTTCTTATTAAGTAATCTTCAAAAGACCAAATTTTTTTCAATATTTTATAGTAAATATTTTTACAAAACTAATCCATACAAATTAAAATTCACATTTTTATTGCTTTTAGTTAATAAGTATGAATAATATACATACTTGATTTCATGATAACGTCCTTTAATCGCGGATCCGCTTATGTCCGTGTCTACCATTTTTTTTACGAATTTTAGCTGAAAAATTTTATTCCTTTTATTCCGATCTTTAATTAAACCAATTAAAATTGATATTAAAAGCAATCTGCGCTGACAATAAGCGATCGCTTGAAGATGGTTTGTTGAACTTACTCTCAAGTATTACTCGGAAATTCGGTCACCGTAAGAATTGTTGTCGATCGTTTTTATTGCTGTGAAAAATGAGAGAAAATATTTTATTTTTATTCTAGACTTAAAAATCTGCCTTCTCGTAAAAATTTATTTGCAATTATTACTTTATGGCACGTGATGTAAATGAACTAAGACTAATAATTCAAGTCGATTTCCAGTGTTGCCTCGTCGACTTCCTTTGCGTGTGCCAAGATTTTTGGCCAATCTATGAAAAAAATGCAAGAGTCATAAAAATCATGAAGTATAGGAACAATCATTTTTAAAATATTTATATAATTTTTATATACCGATATAAACTTTCAAAATATATAATAACAAAATATTATAATATGATAAAATACAATCGGGATATTCTGCTAGATATGCATGCATAAGTTAATTAGAATGCCTGATTTTCATGTAAAACCGCAGAAATTAAAATATGCGATATGAACTACTTAATTATAATTATTCATATTTAATAAATATTCAGATTCATGTAAGAGTGGAAAGAAAAAATGAATATCTGATGATGCAACTTTCTTGTTGCAACATCTTTCCCTTAAAAAATTTTTAGAACCTCTAGGTACATTAGTATCTCATTAGTATAGTTTCTCAATTTTTATTACATTACACAATATTTTTTTAAATTTGCATTTTTTTAGTGTATATTTCATATTTAGAAAAATATTAGCAAATAATATTTGTCGAACTTTTCACAATCCCTATTTCTTATTATAAACAAAAGAGAAACAAGTGTAAAATTGCAAAAAATTAAAAATATTTTTTAACTATATTATCGAATAATCAGGAAAAGAACTCGCGCTCTTAGGATAATCATGTTTAATCGACAAACGGACAAGTTACAAAATAAGCTCTCTGAAAAAACGATTGATTAAAGATTAAATGACTAATCGGTCAACTATAGATCCTGTTTTCTATAATTTTCCGCTCACCTGATACTAGGTAGAAATGTTGGGGAATTGCCTTGACAATCTAAGATCTTGCACCTCATGGACACATAAGTCTTCGCGGTCGCTGCGAAGATTAGTTTGTCTTGATAACGTACGTGCTATCGAAGCTGTACGGTATTTAATACTTGTTAATCAGATAGATCGAATAAAGTACAACCGGATTTCTACCTGAATCGCGAAATTTAAAAACAAACCTTACAGCCTCCAAAAGACTGAGGAAGACTGCTGGTTCTTCGTCGATCCTGCTGCTTTTACATAGTCACCAGTATTCCCCTTCTTCGCTCATCGGTCACCATCAGGTGGGGATATTATGGTTATTGGATATAATGATGGACACTCGTGGTTACATTCGTTTATTAAACGTTTTGTTGTTCATAAGCCACACATCTTAAACTAAAAGTGACTAATAAATTAGTGATTTCTCTCAGTCTACCGAAAATGATGCGCGAATATGAACGCATTTGCAAAAAAAATAAATCAATATTAAACTAACACATTTTTTTTGCTGTATTATAAATAGATGTGAATGAAAGTTTTTTATTGTGTCATTTTATTGATTGAGGATTATCGATTTTTTCTATCGACTCTCTTCAAGTTTTTCAGAGTTGCTGACATCCATTATGACGTGAGAGGTAGCCTCTCATTTACATTAATAAGACATTTTATATGTTCATTAATAATTCATAAAATTATTAAAAGAGATCTAATAATATCTCTAGTAGTAATCGTTCAGTTTATATCTTAATCTCCTTAGCTTCTAAATACAATTACATATTGTAATACTAAAGTTTACGTGGATTAGCTATGAAGTTATATAATCGTACAATAATTATATTTTTTTCTTGTCAGAATTTTAATAATGCAAAAAGAGAGAGAACAATTCACTTTTATTAAAAAACAATTATTGCATAAATGCGACTAGTAAAATTTAAATTAAATTCTGTCATATAAGGAAATCAGGAAAAATAGTTTAATTTTTTTCCAAAAAGGGCAAGTTTTTTAAACTACAAAATATACCCGCATGAATGACATAATTAGACAAATTTTATTTAAATAAAAGGTTATATTTGTTATTCATGAATAATGTGTACTTTATTCAAAGTTAAATTTTTACTCTTTAATAAAGATATATTTAAATCTAATGTCCCTTCCCCCCTCTTAGCTCTACTTGAAGAAACGAATATAATCGCATAAAAATTGTTCCGTGGGCGGGAAGAAATGTCATCGGAAACGTGTTCCTCGAGAATCTC